TTTTTTTTTTTTTTTTTTTGTCCAGAAAGCAAAGAAATGCTCAGTGAGGATCACAATAAAAGGACATAAGAAAGGATTCCCCAGCCAAATGTAGGACAATTTAAGCAATCCCAAAGAACAATAATGGTAATAAATTGTAACACATTGAATTTAAAATAACATAAAATGTCTCTAAAGATGCTGACAAATAAGGGGGAGAGGGAACACAGGGAAAGCTCTTTCCMAAAGAATCCCAGCTAATAGCTTCAGGAGAAATGATGATATGAAAAAAATCACCACTTTGCAACCCCTAGTGTAACAGTTTGGGCACAAATCATCATTGGATGTCCAAACCACTGATACAATGTTTTGGGCACAGTGAAGAGCAGACAGTCTCAGGGTGTCAGGATACTTAGAGTATCATTTCATAAATCACTTATTATAAAGGGGAAATTAGCTTCACAATGTAGAAATCTGGAGGCTACCACCATAACCCAGCCATCACAGAGCCTCAATAGGAGCGGGACAGCTTAACCTATGCATCACCTGATGGGCTGTAGGGAAGTATCCACCATGTCGTTCCTGCAATGCTTGTTTTGTTTTGTTCTGTTTTTTACATATGCGGTATTCTTGCCRAAGATACTTAACCTGAACCTGATCACGAGGAAGCAATCAGACAAATCCAGAATATGACTCTATTCTGCAAGACAGCTGGCCTGCACTTTTTTTAGAAATATKTTTTTAGTTGTAGATAGACACAATATCTTTATTTATTTATTTTTATGTGGTGCTGAGGATCGAACCCAGGGCCTCACTCATGTGAGGCAAGAGCTCTGCCACTGAGCTCCAACCCCAGACCCTGGCCTGCACTCTTCATAAAAGAGTCAGCACTTAAAAAGACCAACTAACAAATGAAAATATTAAGAATCTGTTCTATTTCAAGGGCCAAGGGAGCATAGCCACCAAAGGAATTGGGTGAACATTGAGTAGATCTTAGGTTTTTGAAAAATATCTGTAAAAGATGCGATGGGACAATTGGGGAAGTTTGAAGGTGGGCCAGGTGTGAGATGTTATTTTGGAATGATGGTTTATTTTCTTAGGAGTAATAACGTTATTGTTGTTATGTGCAAATATCCTGATTCTCGGGAAAAGTGTGTTGAAGTACTTGGCAGTGACCTGTCATGATKTCTATGGAGTACTCTCCAACAATTGAGCAGCAATAAACATAAACAGGAAAAGAGAGAAAGCAAATATAACAGGAGGAGAATAAGTGAAGGGCAATGGGTGTTCCTTATTTTATTTTTCTGACTTTTCTATGGATTTCAATATTTTCAAATGGGAAGTTGCAGGGAAAACTTTGAACTTGAGGGTGGTGTCATATATTGGGGAGGTGTATCCCTTCTGCCTTCCTTCTGGTTCAGGCTGGCCCAGATCACCTCTTTTGCCATGTTCTGTGGCTCCTTACCAACCTGAAATATTGTCTCCTTTTTCCACCCAGGTGAAGACCCCCTTGTGGATGATCAAAATGAGCGAGATATCAATTCAGTCGCTGGTGTTTTAAAACTGTATTTCCGAGGACTGGAAAATCCACTCTTTCCTAAGGAAAGGTTTCAAGATTTGATATCTACTATTAGTAAGTATTTCCCAGGTTGAAGAATCACTTCCTGGACAAATCTTAATTGCTGTTGCACTCTGGGCTCATCACTATGGTAGGCATAGAAGAGGAATATTGTGAAAGAAGATGTGTGGCCGTGGTCCTCAGAGAAYCTGGCAGGTGGAGACAACAGAGTGTTTATAACGAGAAGGAGTACAGAAGGAACTCAGAGAAGAAGCCCAAGGGGGCTTGGATTCACAGGTCAGACCTCAGAGAGCAGTGTTAGCAAGTCTTCCTGGAGGAGTGGACACAGGGAACCCTGGGAAGAGTTGGGGACACAACCATTGGGATCAGCAGGAAGGTGTCCAGCCTGTGTGTGATGTGATAGACTGGAAAAGGAAGACAGAACAAAAAGGGGAAGACCTTGAATGCTTGCAAGGGTTCCAGGGCTTTTTGCCTTGGGTAATGGGGAGCCAAGGAAGGTTGGTGGTCAGGTCAGCAACATGATGAACAAGGAAAATGGTGAAACTAAGGTGACTGGGGGTCCCTCTTATGTTGTTAATTGTGAGCATCTTTCTCAACTGCTGTGTTTTTGTGGATAGTCAGGAGGAACCAGTCTAGGGAACTGATGTCCAGGCATCTTGGCTATAAGACACCAAAATCCAAGGCAACCTTCTGGGAATATTTTCAAATAAATTTCAAATTTTAATATTTTTTTCTTTCTTTTTTTGTTTTTGTTTTTGTTTTTTTTCTTTTTTCAAATTTTAATATTTCAGAATAAACTTTTAAAAAAATTTATTGGGTTTACAGAAAAGTTAGCCCACACCCAGTTTTACTGGGGGTGTGTCTGATGCTATTCTGTGAGAGATTTGCAGGAGAGGGTCCAGGAGGTGGCAAGAGAGGAGGCATGAGCCCTCTTATTTGCTTTGTGTAAAAGACCCTTCCTTTGCTGTTGGCCCTCCTCACTACTTCATGCTCTCAACCACATCTTAGAAAGCCCAGGCCACAAAGGCCCAGCCCTCTATGAGCCCCATGCCATATACTCATCCAGTGTTTCCAGAACCCCCCCCATTCCAGTTCCTGAGCAGACAAGAACATTGACTTCCAGCTCATGCCAGGACATTGCCTGACCTGAATCACTCCATGAGAGTCGCTTTCAGTTCCTTCCCAAATCCTATGACCACATCAAGGAAAAAAAAACCTCACATTGACTTCCAGCTTCTATTCTAAACAGGGAGAGCCAGGTTTCTGTTTCAGAAACTTTGTAGACAACAATGTCTACTTATAATTTAGTAATATTAGTCCCCCCTTCTGTGGTTTTTGAGTTACCTATAGTCAACTGCAGTCAGAATATATTAAATGGAAAATTCCAGAAATAGTTCATAATTTAAAAATAATTTTTTGGAGTAATTTGTTATTATTATTCTATTTTTATTAAATTATCATTGATTTCTTCCTGTACCTAATTTAAATAAATGTGTTTAAGAAAAAACATTGTTGCTAGGCACAGTGGCACATGCCTATAATMCCAGCAACTCAGAAGGTTAAGGCAGGAGGGTCTCAAGTTCAAGGACAGCATCCAAAACTTAGTGAGACCCTGTCTCAAAATAAAAAAATAAAAAAGACCAGGGCTGGGCTGGGGATGTGGCTCAAGCGGTAGCRTGCTCGCCTGGCATGCATGCGGCCCGGGTTCGATCCTCAGCACCACATACAGACAAAGATGTTGTGTCCGCCAAATACTAAAAAAATAAATAAATATTAAAAAAAATTGTCCCCTCAACTAATTGTAAGCTGGCAACTGTCTATATGAATACAAAATAAATGAAGGTAAAGAAAACCTTGTGTCTTAAATATGGTTATGATACATCAGTATGAACTCATGAAAAAAAATGTGCATTTAAGTTTTATTCACTGGAAAGGCCAGGAAGCTCTTTATAGTGCTCCTATAGCTAATAGCTAGATTTTGCTTTTAGTTACTCTCTACAAATAACAGAGGGCTCCTTGGGAAAACCTTTAATTCCAGATATGGGTCAAGGAAAGTAAAAGGGCATTTTTTTTTTTTTTTTTTTNCATGCATGCGGCCCGGGTTCGATCCTCAGCACCACATACAGACAAAGATGTTGTGTCCGCCAAATACTAAAAAAATAAATAAATATTAAAATTAAAAAAAAAAAAAGACCAGGGCTGTAGCTCAGTGATAGAGCACCCCTGGATTCAGTCCCCAGTACCAAATGCATGTGCATGCGCGTGCGCACACACACACACACACACACACACACACACACACATACACACACACATACATACAACCAATATTAATAAATAATAGTAGAGGTGGTACTTGGGCAGGGATGACTGAAGTTAAGGACAGAGGCATCTGAAGTAGGCAGCATTGGAACTGATTTGTGTATAGGAGATTCTGATTCAGAATTTGGGCAGCTTGGGCAAGGGTTCCTGGAGCAGGCTTGGAAGGTAAGCTATAGGGATCACCATGTATATGAAGGCTCAGCGGTGGCAACTTCTGTTTTGAGAGGGTGATGTGATGGATAAAACCACCTGGCACAGGATTACTCAGGGGGCCACTGTTGGAATTTATGGCAGAGAAATGTCTTGTGCCACTCACAATTCAGAACACTTGGAACCCAGGCCCTTAGATATCAAGTGCCAGCGCTACTGTTCAGTCGCTGTGGCAGCCCCACAGGAGGCTCTATAGATATGTAAGCACCCCTCATTTGAGAAGCATGATTCTCCGTCATCTCCAGGCACTTTGGGAAGAGCTGGCAGCTGGAGATGATAGCTTGGCCCTGGCGTGAGGGCCTTGGATGCAGAGGAGAAACAAGAAAAGCTGTGGGTTAGAAGGAATTCCCTGATGGAATAAAGAGGCTGGACAGGGGCTGCATGAGAAAAATGTTACCTGAAAAAGAAACTGACATYATGCTGCACATCAGCCACATAAACTTAGGAGCTCTGAGAGCTCACTTTTCTTAGCACCAGCTTTCCATGTCCACAAGGCACTTGTGTCCTCTTACCAAGTCCAACTGGCTGCTCCAGCCCCTGGCCTGACWAATAAAAGTACCAGTGCCGGTCTCTCCAGACGATACTGGAGAGATGAGATTACAAGCATCTTCCAAGTTCCTGGCCAATAGGTAGCTTGAGAGATGGTTATTTTCCCCACCCCTTTTTACCTAGCAACTGCTATGTGCCAGTCCTGTGCTGCAGTTGGTGAATGTGAGGAGTTTAATAAACACGATCCCTGTATGTGTTCATCAGGAGTTGCAGGTGACAGAAACTCAACCTGACCTAAGCCATAAAAGAGAATGTATTCATTGATGTACCTGGAAAGTTCAGACCCAGCTGAACTCAGAACCTCAGCTGGTATCATCAGAAATCAGTCCCTCCTCTGTCTCTGTGCCAGCCACATTCTCAGGCAGGATCTTGCTTCCCAGCAGCCCCTACCTGCTCCAGATTTCCCTCTTCCCTGGACCAAGGACACTTTTCTATAGGTTTCTCCAGCCCAAAGTCCTGAAGACCAACTCTGATTGGTTCTGGGTGGGACACAACACACACCTCTCCCTGAGACCTGGGGATGGGACACACTGATKGGCCAGGCTGGGCTTACATGTGGATCCACCAACTGTGAGCAGAGCTGCTGCCCCGACCCACTGACCCACTGGGGCTGATGACAGAGGGGAGACATGAAAATGTGTTCAGGGTGAAGAGCACCCTGAAAAGCCCCTTTATGTTACAGAACTGGAGAACCCAGCCGAGAGGGTGCACCAGATCCAACAGATCCTCATTACCCTCCCCCGCGTGGTCATCGTGGTCATGAGATACCTCTTCGCTTTCCTCAACCAGTGAGTGCCTGACCAAGGGGCCCTTCTTTGGCTGGCCTCCATTGGGAGGGGGCGGCCTGAGGTGTTTGCAGGTACTTTTGTTTTTAAAGCAGAACATGGAGCCTCCTGGGTTTAAGTAGAGCCTACCCCCAAAGAAAGAAGCCCAGAGGGAGGATTTGCCTATCCCAGATGACTCCTGCCACCTCCTCTCTCCAGCCTCTCCCAGTACAGTGACGAGAACATGATGGACCCCTACAACCTGGCCATCTGCTTCGGGCCCACCCTCATGCACATCCCTGACGGGCAGGACCCTGTGTCCTGCCAGGCCCATGTCAACGAAGTCATCAAAACCATCATCGTCCATCATGAAGCCATCTTCCCCAGTCCCCGGGAGCTAGAGGGACCCGTGTATGAAAAATGCATGGCTGGAGGGGAAGAATATTGGTAAGATGCTGTTCCTCCTAACAGTAATGTTGTCATCCTTGTTGGTGAACAGTAAGAAACCCTTCCGTTTTCTTACTGTGTTGAGCTTATACTTCCATATACATTTTCTCATTTGAGCTTTGAACCCCTCTTATATGAGACTAGGTTCACCAGTCAAGATTCTGGTGGTTACAAGGGACAGAACTGAAACCAGCGTAAGCCAAACGTGAATTTATGGGATTGCTTACTAAGAAGTCTGGGAATGTATCTTCAGGAGTGGCTGGATCTGGGGACTGAACTCTGGTCATGAGGACTTTGTCCTGCAATCTCCATCCCTTGGCTCTAGTTTCTTCTGTATTGATTTTATTCTCAGACCGTCTCTCCCTTGATGGTACCAAGAAGGAAGCCAGAAACTCCAGCTTTAAATCCATTCTCTGAACACCCTCAATAGAAAAAGAACTTCTTTCCCTGTGTTCCCACATAAGCTCAAGAATTGTTTCTGTGCTGACATTTGGTCTGGTGATGTGTGATTATGGTTACATTGGCAGGGAGAGGTGCTGCTGTCTCTGGCAGGGGAGGCAAGGCCCCTCTCAGGAAGCAGGGACATGAGTAAGCCCTGCCTGACCACATGTACCCTTCATGGCCCCCTCCCACCAGATGTCTCTTGAAGGTCATGAGCTTGATTCTTAGAGTGTTCTGCTCCAGATCAGCATCCTCTAGTCGGACCACCTTTGTGTCCCTGAGATGACACCCAGTCTTAGGAAAAATATTTTAGGCCATTTTCAGAATCAGGGATGACTGTGTTCCAGGCTAAGACCTTAAAATGTCAAGACAGGAAAACAGTTTAAAAATKCAATGAAAGGGAGACAATAGATAATGATAATGTCCAGTGTATTTCAGAAAGCTAGAGAAGAGAAATGTTTTCACTATAAGAAATGATAAAGGGCCTGAGGATGTAGCTAGTGGTAGAGCATGTGCTTAACATAGGTGCAGCCCCGAGTTCCATTCCTGGCACCACACACACACACTCACACACATACACACTCGCACATACACACTTTCACATTCACACAATCATGCTTATATACCCACACTCACACACTCACACACACTAACACACACTCTCTCACACTCACACAATCATGCTTACACACCCACACTCATACACTCACACACACACTAACACACACTCTCTCACACACAATCATGCTTACACACCCACACTCACACACACACACTAACACACATACACATTCTCTCACACTCACACAATCATGCTCACACACCCACTAACACACATACACACTCTCTCACACTCACACAATCATGCTCACACACCCACACTCACACTTGCATACACACTCATACACATACACACACATATACACTCACACACACAGGTACATGTTTAAGGGGCTGGATTTACCCTATTTTAAACATTCCACAAGGCATACATGTATGGAAACATCWCACAGTACCCCATAAATATGTACAATTGTTATGTTTTCATGCATCAATTGAAGTCTATAAATTTCAAAAGAGAGAGGCAATACTCCATGAAAAAAAAAAAGTACAACAAAGCATAAAACCCAGCACACCCAGAGAGAGCAACCAGCCAAAGAGTGACCATTATTTCTTTACTCTGGATCCAGAACAATATACAGCTGTGTATATTTAGGTCTTACCTGCACTGCTTCCAGCCAGCTGCCTTTGGGGGAGTTTGTTTTTGATTGTCACAATGTCCCTGGACTTGTGGATTGCCTTAGTTCTCTGGACATATTTGGAGAAGTTCTTCAAAGGGGGCAGAATCCCAGTGCCTTTGTCCCCCACCACCACATCTCCTTGCATAGAAGTGCTCACCAGCAGTGATGTGTGATCACAGCTTTCTGACTTCCTTTGAGGCATCAGGGGGCAAGTCTGCTCTGTACCAGAAGCAGCAAATGGCTGCAAAGCATGCTGTCTGCACACAGAGAAGCCTTTCACACACAGTGTTGGCCAGCATCAATCCTCTCCTTGGTGTGATATGTTGGTAGGATGCGCAGTTGTCCTGGGAAGGATCCACAGATCTTAGATGTTATCAGAGAACACATACAGTGGGCACACTTTTCTCAAACCTGTTTGCTTCCCATGCAACTGGAACCTAATTAGTTTCACCATAATTTTGGAGGAGTTTTCAAAGCCAACGAGAGAGATTTAGCTGAAGGTTTCAGCACAGTAGACATCATTCATTCATTCATTCCACAGATAGTCCCAGGCCAGGTCCTGGTCTGGGAGGCAGGAAGAGAGCCTGAATAAGATTTACCCTGATGTAGGGAGCTCAGATGGAAGAGGAGGAAGCAGGCAGTCCCAGAAGGAAGCCCCTGGCTCCAGTTGAAGGCAGTTCTAAAAGGCTTCCTGGAGGTGGTGAAGACTGAGCTGAGACAGCAGGGTAAACTGAGCCAGCCCAGTGAGGAGTGGGCAAAGAAAGATCTAGGCCTACAGCATTCAATAAAATGAGAAGAATGTGTCAAGGGAATGGTGAGGGACAGCTCCACAGGGCAGGTAGAGCCAGATTATCAAAACTCTTGAAGCCACTGTATGGAGTCTGGACCTTACTAGATGACAATAGAGAATTTTTCATAATAAAGCCCACACCCTTTAAATGACATTGCAAATGTCACCTCCTCTAAGAACTCTCCCCTGACTATGTTAGTCCCCACTGTTTTTCTTGTCTCTGCTCATTTCTTTCCCACATGACATATTTCAACTTGTAACTGTCTTATTGACTGGCCTGTTTACTTGGACTTTTTTCTTGTCCCTCTCCATAGAAGGTAAGCAATAAGGTCAGGGACCCTATCCATCTTCCCTCTCTTTACATCCTTTCCATGTGGCGTAGTGTCATCTATTAGAACTCAGTGGATCAGTAAAAACACTGGGTGTGTGAATGATCCCTGGCCTCAAAGAACTTAGAGTCTAGCAAAGGGTAGCACCTGTGACTCATACCAGTACCTGAATGACTGGATTGGACCAACCTCAGTCTCTCGGCCACCAGGCTCATCATGGTGACCAGCCTAAATCGATCTGGGCTTTTGCCCACAGAATCATAAGGCAGCCCTTGTTGGCTTCGCTCCACCTCACAGATGTGTCATCTCAGCTGTAAGAAGGGAGTCAAACTGGATGAAAGGACACATGGTACTTCTGAGGTCTTTTCTGTTCTGATTTGTGGTACTTCTGATGATAAATTCTGGGGTAACTGCCCTCTGGACCTTACAGAACACATAGGCATTGTCAATCCATTTTCTGCTGCTGGAACAGAATGCCTGAGGCTGGGTAATTCCTAGTAACAGAAATTTATATGGCACACAGTTCTAGAAACTAGGAAGTCCAAGAGCATGGCGTCAGCATCTGTCAAGGGCCTTCCTGCTATTTCATCCCATGGTGGAAGGCAGAAGGCAAAAGGCACAAGAGTGAGCAAGCGCACAAGCGATGTTCAGGTCAGACTCAATTGTCAAACAGTTCTTGTGAGTTCTAATCCATTCCTGTGATAATAACATCAGTTCATTCATGAGAACAGACTTCATGACCCAATCACCTCGTCAGGCACCCCCTCCAACACTTTTGCACTGGGGATGAAGTTTCTAACACGTAAACTTTGGGGACACAGCCAAACCACTGACAGCCTTCGCCAAGAAGGTAACTCAGCTGGGATAGAGCTGACAGAGGGACTCAGGGAAGCTTCCAGCAAGGAGCTGGGAGTGGTTTTCTAGTTAAGAAGATCCATGGGTGATCAGTGGGAAAAGACAGGATGATGTAGGCCTGGGCCTGCTCTGGGTGAGGGCCACACTCCCCAACAAGTCCCCTTCCTGTGTTTTCTTGCAGTGACAGTCCACACAGTGAGCCAGGGACCATCGATGAAGTTGACCATGACAATGGCACGGAGCCTCACACTAGTGATGAAGGTGAGTGAGGGGAGGTCTGGGGCCAGGAAACTCACCTGGAAAGCTTTCCTGCTGCCTCATGCCACCCCACAGGGCTGGCCCACATAACCCTCCAGTTCCAGGTCAGCACTGCCATCCCTCAGAACAGATGGGCACCCAGGGAAACCTCAGGAAAAAACCTCCATTGCGCAGGGCAGCTTCCAGCACAGGCCAGACAGAGCAGATCCTGGGAGCATGCGCTGTGTTGGCCACACCCCACTCCTGGCTCACGTGATCCCTCTGTGTCCTGCCTGGCCCAGGTGCAGATCCTAAACGGCAAGAGTATCCCAAGTAGGAAGCAACCACTGTCCCTCTGTTCCTCTGTCCCTCTCCCCTGCATGCCTGTTCTGCACCAGGCCTATGCTAGGACCTGAGACGAGGAGGTGAAGGAGACGGGTCTGTCTCCAGACCTCGACAGACTGGACACAGCTCCACGTGTTGATGCAGAGTGGTAATGCCAGGCTTTGGGTGCATCCCAGAGCAGCAGGCACCCAGACATGACACCAGGGTGATGACCCTGGGAAGTATGTGGACAGGGAGAAAGGCCAGCTGGGCTCTGAGGGACTCATTAGATTCTTCCACYCCTACTAGAGTAGGAAACTGGACTGTGTGGACAAGCAATCTGGGTAACATGGACCAAGAGCCAACTTACTTGGTCAGAGTGGGCACAGTGCCAGGGCCCTGGATATTTGCAGGGCCCACTAATATGCTTTCATTTCTTTTAAAAGCAGAATAAAAATGAATATGATGTCCAGTCTGGATTATGCTTGTCTTTATGCCAATGTAGTTGTAAAATACAATGATTATTTTTTTAACAGAGGAAGGGACTCCTGCAGGCCTAAGTGCCTAGGGCCCATGGTAGTCATAATATGGCCCTATGTAGCCAAGCATAACCTTTCTTTCTCCCTGCCATAGTTTTATGTTTTTTAAAAATCATGACTTATCAATTCTTTTACTTGGCCTTTGTATTTTCCTTAGGAGACAATCCTAGGCCCTGTTGGCCAGCACATTTGTCAGGGGAATTTATTTACTCATGTGAAGTTTCTAGGAGTTGGTAATAAAGGCAACACAGGGTTTTCACATTATAGTAGAACTATTTGGTTGCTAATGACAGAACCCCCAACTCAGATAGATTTACACATAAAAGGGAATCAGGTCATACACCTGAAAACTCCAGGATACTATGACTTCAGGCACAGTTGGATCCAGGAGCACAGACACTTTTGTTAGGACTTTGTGTTTATCTTCCTGTTCAGCTTCCCTCTGTGCTGGCTTCGTTCTCAGGTGGAATCTTGCTGGGAGGTGGTCTCACAGTTCCAGGCTTTCACTGTTCYATTTCCCAAAGTCCCAACGGGAAAAGCTTCATTTTCAGCATGTTTCTAAGAAATGTCTGGGGGCAGAGTCTCCATTGGACTGCCTTGGGCCACACACCCAGGCATCATCAAATCCCTGTGATCAGGGAGGGAGCTAATGGTTAGGCCTAGGTCACAGGTGCGGAAGACCAAATGTAGATGTAACGTTCATCTTAGYCAAATCCTGGGGGTCTAAAGGCATCCTGCACTGAGGCAAGTGTCCTGCAAAGACTTCACTGGAGATGTGAAGGCCACCACCTTCTGCTTTTTCAAAGTGATCTGCTTTCCTTTTCCCTTCTCTTCCTCCCTCCCTCCCTCCCTCTTTCTGCCACCTCCAGTCTCCCCCACCCCCACTCCATCTGCTGCTCTTTTTATTTCTGGMTCTCTCTCTCTCTCTCTCTCTCTCTCTCTCTCTCTCTCTCTCTCTCTCCCCCCCCCCCCATCTCTCCTTCCCAATTCTTCCTCTCTGGCTTTTGCCTCCTTCTCTCCCTCAACTTTTTTCTCTCCCTCTCCCCTTTCCCATCCTTCTCTCCCTCTCCCTGCCTTCTCCCTCTGTGTGCCAGTGTTCTGGATCTTTCTGTTTCTCTTCTTCCCCTGGGGAAAGCCCCTCTTATGTTAAGAGGTGGACTGATTTTTCAGAACCAAGACCTGCCAGGGCTGCAGCCTATGGAAACATCTGGCTGGCAGGAGGGCAGGTCAGGTGGCCTCTGAGGACCTCTGCAGCTCTGTACATTGACTTGTGCACCCACCTTCCTGGGGCTAAGGACCTGCCGGTGCCTGCTGGCTATTCCCACAGCTCCAGGACTGTGAAAAATGTACACACAGAAGGGAAATGTCCAGAGAACGGGAGCCTGGCGACCTCTGCATGTTCCTCCTGAGCCTCTGGGCATAGTGCGTTTGGTTGCTCAGGTCCTTTCAGAGGCCTGCCTGTGGACAAAGGGCCGAGGCGACCAAAGTTCATGTTCCTCCTCAGCAGCTGGAATCGCAYATCTGTCCTGCTTCTGTAAAGGCTTCCCAGGTCCATTCTGAGAGGTTCTTTCAGTGTCACTTTCATTATTATGTTCCTTTATCTTCATGCCTCACACCAAGAACCACCCCCAAGAAAATTCTTCCCACCCCTTCTCATGGCAAGACATGYACCTGCTCCTTGAATGGATGAGGCCAGCAGTGTCCCCTTCCCCTGTAGGGCCTTGTTCCCATCGCTCTTCATAGGGCTTCTGGTTTCCAAGAATGCCAGAAGTAGGAGAACCACCCTAGAAATGAGGCAGGGTCAGGTGCTCACACCCTGARGACCCTGGAAGCCCCCTGTGTGTGTTCATGGGGCTGCTGGAGGGCGTTCTTTGGAGGGAAATCTATTGCATTTTCTGAATGTTACATTCATGCTGACCCTGGCCATAATTATGGAAATAGTAAAYCGCAGGGACGGTCGAGGGGGCGCTGGACTCAGAGAAGAGACCTGGAATTGAAACACAGGAGTCCTCCTGTGTGGCCTTGTTATCTGAGGCAAGTCACATAACCTCTGGCCTCACTTTCTTTATCTGTAAAATGGGTGTGACAGCCACAAGGGAATCAAGGCCTGGGTTAAAATGGAGGGTTGTACATGTAGGAGCTTYACCCAGTGCCTGTGAGAAGGCAGGGGGTAGAAACACGAATGCTTCTCTAGTGAGTTATAAATCCTTTCTAATTCTGACAGGGAAACTGAGTTCCAGAGAATTTTGTTGGCCTAACTGGTCATGGCAACCTAAATTTATTTTATCTAAGAGGCTTCATTTGGGGAGTCATTATTACCCTCTTTTCTCTTGAAAATGCTTTRTGTGAATGTAACCCTGCAGGCTTTGAGGGTCAGCCCTAGCATCACTTTTTGTTTTAAATCCTAYTTTGTCTGATATTATACCAGCTTTCCTGTGATTGTGGTTTACAGTTCTTTATTAAACAATTGGTGTCTTTGAAACYAAAGTGCATCTWTTGTAGATGACACAAGGTTAGATGATATTTTTTTAAACTCTGATAATCTGTTGTTGTTATCGTTTGTTAATACTGGGAAATCTCTTCACTTTAATTAGATTGTTTTAACTCATTCACCTTTAATACTATATTGGTATGGTTAGATTTGTGTTTACCATTTCACTTTTTGTTATTTGTGTGTTTCTTGTCTTTTTCGTTCCTCTGTTCCTTCTTTTTTGCTTTATTTTGCACTAGGTGCTTTAATTTATTTAATGATTTATTTCACTTTATTTTTGAGKTCTTTTTTAAATGGTTTCTCTAAGGTTTACCATATACATCTTTACTTACTAAAATGAAATTCTGAATTTATATTAGCTTAAATACTAGTGCTATGTGAAAATTTTATTCCTGTTCAGTTTTATTCTCTTTTTATGGTGTTATTGTTATACATCTACTTAGGTTAAAAACACAATGCTTTATTATAATTATTACTTTGCTATCTGTGGTCCTATATAGCCTTGTTCTGCCACCCCCTTGTGCTATTATTGGCAAGTTTATACATTTTTGTGTTATAGGCCAAAAATCATATATACACATTATTTTATACACTTGCTTCTTTTTTCAAATATATTTTTGAACTGTAGATGGACACAATACCTTTATTTTTTTAAAATTTTATTTGTATGAGGTGCTGAGGATCGAACCCAATGCCTAGTGTGTGCTAGGTGAGTGCTCTWCCACTGAGCCACAACCCCAGCCCATATCCTTGCTTTTTAAATCAATTCAGAAAAGGAGAAAATATGCATTTAAATTGTTTTTTATAATCACATTTACTGGCACTCTTTTTTTTGTGTGTGAACATAAGTTATCATAGGGGTTATTGCCTTAGCAGTAAAAAAATCTTAGTATTTTTAAAAGGTGGCTTTGTCGGTGACACATTTTCTCAGTTATTTTAAACTTGGAAAGTCCTTTTATCTTATTTTTGAATGGTGTCTTTGTTGGATGTAGGATTCTTGGTTGACAGTTATTTTCCTTGAGCACCCTGAGCATGGCCTTCCACTGACTTCTGGCACCCATTGTTTCTATCAAGAAATCAGCAGACAAATGAGGGTGATGTCCCAGATGTCTGGTGAGAATTAAGCATGATGATGTAGATAGAGCAGTTTGCACATACTAAAAGCTGAATTTGTTCATACAAACAACAAATATGTACCAAGTGCCTACTAGTCCCAGGGACTCTTCTAAGAGGTGGGACGATAGCAAGAAATAAAATGAAATCCCTGTCCTAATGTTGTTCACAATGTTAACAAACTGACAGTAAACAAGTCTAAAAATCACATGAGCACACACACACTCAGACACACATATAACTTCAGGTTGTAATAAACACTATGGAGAAAACCCCCAGAAAGTGTCAGAAAGTGATTAGGCAATTGGGGCTTCTGTGATTGGGTCTGGTCAGGAAAGGCTTGTTAAGGCAATGGCACTTGAGTACAAACCTGAATAAAATTAGGAAAGGGCACACAATGGTTAACAAATATTTGTTGGATGTGGATGAATACAAAGGAAGGTTCCACGTTCGGCTATGGGTGGGAGAAAAGCATTCCAGGGAGAGACAGTAACAAGTTCAAAGGCCATGGGGCAGGAAAAAGCTTGGCATGTCTTAAAAGCATCAAGTAGACTCCAGGAATATTTATGGGGAAGTATTTAGAACTGTCCTGATGTCTGCAGCTTACTTTAAAAATAAAGTASTGGGGACTGGAGTGTGGCTCAGTGACAAAGTGCACCATCATGCGCAAGGCCCTGAGTTCTATGCCCAGCACTGCAAAAAATAAAAAGGTAGATGAATGGATAGATAGTGGGATGGATAAATATATGATAAAACTAATATATTATAATATTAATAAAATTTAGTTGATGGATATATACACATTCACTGTAAAATTATTTCAGTTTTATTTTGCGTTGAAAAATGTCATATAATGTTGGAGGAGAAATACCAAGAAGGTGCAAGCAGATTGCATGAGAGGTAGAAGTGGTAGAAGATGACATCTCAAGGTCCCTGGGCACGGAGGGCCTCAGGAGCCCTGGGGAGACACTGGGGTTTTGTTCCAAGACAGAGGGGAAGCCTTTGGTGGGTTTTGGGCAAGGGAATTTCATGATCTGATTTATGATTTTGAAAGATCCCTCCAGTGTCTCTGGGGAGAAATAACTCTAACGAAGCAAAGGGGAAGTAAGAAGGGCACGCAGGGGGAAGTAGTGATCTAAATCAAGGTAGCAGCAGAGAAATGTGGTCAGAGTTGGTGGCCCGTTTGAAGGAATCGCTGCTGGTTAGGTCAGTGGGACCCCAGAGCAGCCCCTAGGCTCTGACCTCAGCAGGCAGGTAAACTGTGGTCCCATTCTTGAGAGAGGGAAGATGAGGGGATTAAGTATGGCTGACAGTGGGGGAAGTGGGGGGGCATGAGAAACCCAAATAACAGACTTGCTAATAAACTGTAGCTGCTGTTACTGTTTGTACTGCACACTTACATAACGACATCTGCGAACACACGTGTTCTCACTTAGCTTGTGGCTCAGTGTGGCTCCTCCTGTCCTATTTTGTTTCTTTCCTTTTACATTTTCCAACAACCCTTCCCAACTCCCCACCATCGCTTCAGTGCCAGACTCCAGTCTAATGACTACTGGAGACTCCGGGGAAGGGAAAGGCAAGAACAAGGAACRCAGATGGCCCCTCAGTGCTTCTCTGAGCCTCAGCAACCCTCTGGTTGGGTCAGCACCTTTCTCTAGGAGGAGGGTCTGGGTCCCAGCAGGCCCCAGGGGTGAAGCCATCTGGGCTCTGTCCCGTCTTACACAGTTCAGGCCTTCCTGCTCTGGTAATCAGGCTGGCAGACAGGTTGTTAACAGGCAGGTCCCACATGTGGCTAGAGGTGGGATTCAAAGACACAGCAGAGATGTGGACAAAGTCTCCACACTGCCCTGACAAGGTGACTGTGTGTCAAGATCTGAGTTCATCYGATCCCATCAGCTTTCTGTCATTTTCTTCCTCCCTTCCATTCCCTGTGTCAGAATAGCATTTAAAGACTTTTCTGGCTGAACTGTTTGAGGCCCACTCCCTGCAGAAGGCCATCTGTCACTGAGSCTAGATGTGTCAAAGCCACTGCATCTCACAGGACCACAAGCACAGTCTTCTTGAGACTATAGCTTTCAGAGGGGCACGGACATGTGCAGAGTASAGTGTTGGGGGACTTGAACAAGGTCATGTCTTCCCTCTTCTCTGGTTTTCCATGGTGTCGGTGGCCCTTAGAAGTTTCACCCTCTGCTAAGGGCCACCACCGCCACCAGATTGCATAACTCTTAGAACAAACCATCAGGCATTGTTGCAAGCACTTAATGGGTATAACTCAGGTAAATGTGTGTTGGGTCAACATGTTTGAGCTATGGCCCAAATAGGAATCCCCCCCCCTTATAATTAAGTCCATGGCTGGGTATATTAGGTTGCTAAGCTACAAAAATAAAACACCACAGACTGGGTGGCTTTAATAATAGCAGTTTATTTTCTTAGAGCACTAGAGCCTAGCAGTCTAAGATGAAGGTTCTGCCCCAGGATTGGCTTCTGGTGAGGGCTTCTTGACTTGGGACAGACGTCTTCTCATTGTGTCTCCCATGCCCTTTCTTCTGTGCATGCTCAGAGAGAGATCTAGAATGTCTCTTCCTCTTATGAGGACRCCAGTCCTCTTAGATTAGGGCCCTGCACAATGGCCTCATTTAAATGTAATTACTTCAATTACCTTATTCAGTGTCCTATCTCTAGATCTCATCGAACTCGGGAGCAGGGCTTCAACATATGAATTTTGAAGGGACACAGTTCACTCCACAACAGTGAGCACTGGGGATTCTAGGAGCTCTTAAACATTGTGTCCCACATTTTGCACGTACACCAACTTTTTGACCTCTCCAAAGTTCTAAGAACTATAAGTAGACAAAGAAGGGAAGCATTCATGGAAAGTAGAAGTAGAACTTGTTTTGACATGTAGAAGAAAAAGTCTTCATGTACTGTTTTTTCTTTGTTGTGTTTAGATATACATGGCAGGAGGGTGTATTTTGACATATTATACATACATGGAGTGCACCCCATTCCAATTTGGATCCCATTCCTGTGGTTGTGCGTGATGTGGAGTTTCATGGGTTGTGTGTTCATTTGTAAGCATAGGAATGTGATGTCTGATGCATTCCACCGTCTTTCCCATTCCCATCTCTCTCCCTTCCCTTCATTCCCCTTTGTCTAATCCAATTAACTTCTAGACCTCCCCTCTCTACCCTCCCTTCTTATGGGTTAGYATCCGTATATCAGAGAGGAAGCTCGGCCTTTGGTATTTTGGGACTGGCTTATTTCAGTTAGCATGATAGAAGAATATCATTTGCTGATAAATAGCCATTTATTGGCAAATGCCATAATCAAATATTGTTCTAATGAGGGTTTAAGAGGTGGGAACAAGACGAGCAGTGGAAAATGAGGGTCTGCTATGCCAACTGCCACTGGACACTTTGAGAAGAAGGATGACTTGCCTGAGGTCACAGGGTGGGAGTGGATCTGAGCCTAGAACCCCTGGGTGTCCTGAGCTCCAGGCCACATGTTGTCACCTGGCTTGCCCTGCCTTGCCCCTGTAGAAGCCAGGGCCATCTGAGTGAGGCTCCTGGGATGCCCCTCTGCTGACCTCATGAGGCTTTTTCTCTTTCTTGCTTTCCTTTCAGAAGTGGAGCAGATCGAGGCCATTGCCAAGTTTGACTATGTAGGGCGGTCGCCACGTGAGCTGTCCTTCAAGAAGGGAGCCTCGCTGCTCCTGTACCACCGCGCCTCAGAAGACTGGTGGGAGGGCCGTCACAATGGCGTGGATGGACTCATCCCTCACCAGTACATAGTTGTACAGGACATGTGAGTGGGAATTGGGACTTTCTGGGAATAGATTAGTGGTAATAGATTAGTGATGCCTGCAGTGGGCACTGGAAGGGAGTAGTAGGCCGTGTGCTGGCAGTTTGTTCTCCCTGGTATAATATGTTTGATGTTCTGTAAGAACAGGTATACCTAACTTCCCTTTAAATGATAATCCACTTATTAAATGTGCAAATTGCTCATCCATCAGACTACACAGAGACCATGTGTTGTCTTCCTGCCACTCTGATCCATCTGACAGCCTCCAGGGTGCTTGTTAATTACAGTTCTTAGTGTCCAGTGGATCTTTCCATATTTCTGCACCTTCCTGGGCTTTCTCATAGCTGCTGGTGAGGTCACCATTAACTGCCCACCATCCTCCAATGCAGAGGTGATTCTTTCAGGGGATGGGCAGGAAAAAAAATGCCCTGGTTTCTGGTTAATAAGGAACCATTTTTTACAATTTCAGGGATTAAAATATTTAAAAAACCCAAACCCTAAATACCTAGTCCCACCAGGAAGCTCACAAAGTTTACACTTTCCATTTCTTTGAAAGCCACTGAAGACTCCTGTGCACACCTTCCCTAAAATCTCTGGCCAGGCTCAGGGGAACTGATTTATCATGGAAATAGACACCAAGCTGAATTTCACAGAAAGGGGACCAAACGCCTATGTTTTAATAGGAAAGAGGAAGGTCTAAGCCAGAGAACAGGCCATGGCCAAGCAAACTGTAAGAGGAATAGTGTAGTGGAGGACTCTTGGCTGATGTCCCCAAAAAATCATTGGAAGAGAAAGGGCTACGGGGGTTGGATGGGGGGACAGGGTGAGGCTGCAGGCCTTCACTATAGTCCTAAACCTCAGGTGAGGGAGGTGAGGGATAGAAACACCTCTTCCTCCTTTACTTGGTGTGAAACCACTTCTCATGGAGCCACATGGAGGCTCAGCACTCAGAACTTTGAACTCAGCATTTAGATTCCACCCCACCCCCACCCCCGGCCCCATCCTTCCAATATGCCTCCTGCATTTAGCTTGTCTCAGCCTGTGAACAGCCTGGGAGAGAAGAACGAGCCAGAGAAGGGGAGAAAGTGGGCATGGGTTGCAGGGACAGAAGAGGGTCTCCTGCCAGAGACATGAACTCCAGGAGCGTTGTAGTGGGCATGCGTGGTGGGAAGGTGGCTCCTTCAGAGCYGTGGGCACAGTCAGCCATAGGCAGGAGCTCCTCGAAGGTACCAGGGAGCCGTGTGCATCCTGGTTCTTGGGAGGGGCACCTCAATTCACATCTCTCTTCCTCTAGGGATGATGCCTTCTCTGACAGCCTGAGCCAGAAGGCTGACAGYGAGGCCAGCAGCGGGCCACTGCTGGATGACAAGGCCTCCTCCAAGAACGACCTCCAGTCCCCCACGGAGCACATCTCGGATTATGGCTTTGGGGGGGTGATGGGCCGGTAGGAAACATGGGTTCATTTTCTTCCTGCTAGTGCCATGTGGGTTCATGTCTGAACTGGGAGGGGCGAGAGGGCAGGAAGGAGAGAAGGAGGCTTGTGCAGGCCCTGCTCCCCACAGAATGTGATATTGGGCACAACTGGTGGGGGGGAGGCTGGAGCTGATTGGAGGATGCCAGGGACAAAACAGCATGGTGTTGGGTAGGGGGCTTGAGCAGCAGGAGGAAAGACAAATGCTAGGAACTCAGCGCTTTTCATTGGAAATAATGACGGTAAATTAGCACAATTGGCAAGTATTTTTACTCCTCCTGTCCTGCACCTCCTCCCAGCTTTCTGGTGAAAACCAGAGTTATAAAGTACTTTAAAAAACGTAAAGCTCCCATATTCCCCCAAATTGCGCTATATAAACAGAAAATTCCCACCTACTCATGTGGTGGGGAAAGTTGACACTCGGTTCCACCCACTTCTTTGGTGGGAGCAGATTTCCCAATTTCTTCCCTCCCCTGTGTGGGCTGGGCTGTGTCACATGACCTTTATATCAGCAGGGAGCAGCATGCACCAATTCTATGAACCAGTATGGTCCAGAATATGTGGTGGTTAAAAAATAAGAAAAAGAAGAAAAGAAAAAGAAAAGCCGTCAGTTTCTCACTGCCTTTTTATCCCCCCACATAGGAGTCTCTGAATGTTACTCTGTTTTTCTAGAAAGGTCATGTGATCAGCCTACATGTGTGGGTATTTGCTCACAGAGCCAAAGAAATCAGCGGCATGTTCTATTCAGTTCAGCAGAAAGGTCGGGACACTGTGATAGGTGATGAAATCGAGGGACTTGAGGAAGCAGGAGGCTGGGGTAGAGAATGAAACGGTTGTGTGTCCCGGAGCCCGCCAGGGCCACTCTTCTCCTGCCTCTCTCTTCCTTTCCCCCTTCTCTCTCTCATCTCCTTTCTTTTCTTTCTTAATACCTCTTTATCTCTACACCTCTGCTTTGGTCCTGTTGGGGCACCCACAGGCCTGCTTAGCTTGGCTGGGTGGTAGGGTCTGAAGCGCTACTGACCACACGGGAACTTGGTTCCTAGTCACATTCCATTCCCAAGGTACCACCTCTACCTGACCCCTTTTCTCTTCCAGCCTTCCCTCCCCTCACCAGGGCCGCAGGGTTCTTGGTGACTTCCACAGGGTGCAGCAAAACCTTTTATCTTCAAGGTACTCTCAAACCCACTTAAGAGCAGGCAGGGAGTAGTGCCCCCACTCAACAGAACAGAATGGACTTGAAAGAGAAGCCAGGAAACTCGTGGTAGACACAGAGGGCAAGGAGCAGCCCTCCTGATCCACACTCCCACCCCTGTTCACACCCACAGACCTCCCTGAGGTGGGAGGAGTACCCACATGCCCCACAGGCTCATTGAAGATGCAGTGTTTACTCTTAAATGGCCAATTTCCCAAGATCTGGAAAAGCCTTATAGATACCTTTGTCTGGGGAGATGGGGAGTGGGGGACAATAGTGAGTAGATGTTCAGTTCCCAGGGGGGCCCTCCTGTGCTTGCAGGGTGCTGGTGGCTTTTTGGTATAGTCAAGCCTCAATGCTTCAGACCAATTAGAAAGAAGCCTACAGGAAACATGAAAATGTATCGTGAGCCCAACTGAGCTCACCCAAGCATTTCCAGGTTGAAGTCCTCCTGGCCCGTACTTAACGGTAGATGAGATTCATCTTGTAATGAGCACCACTGCTGTCTGCAGCTGGAAGCACCGCCCCACACCTCCCCCTGTGGCTGTGTGGGCCCAGCTGGTCCTCTGTTGTGGAATTGCACAGTCTGACCGAGTGAGGCTTCACTATACCTGCTCCCTAGACTAGTGTGTAGTGTGTGGTTGTAGTGGGGGTTGGATGGCCCATTCTGAGACTGGCCAGGGTTGACTTCTGCCCCATGCCCCTGCCCCCTGGCTCCTTTGCAGAGTGCGGTTACGATCCGATGGAGCGGCCATCCCCAGGCGCAGAAGCGGGGGCGACACGCACAGCCCACCCCGGGGCCTGGGTCCCAGCATAGACACGCCACCCCGGGCCGCCGCCTGCCCCAGCAGCCCCCACAAAATCCCTCTTACCCGGGGGAGGATCGAGAGCCCTGAGAAGAGGAGAATGGCGACGTTTGGGAGTGCTGGCAGCATCAACTACCCCGACAAGAAGGCGCTCTCAGAAGGGCACTCCGTGAGGTCCACCTGCGGCTCCACCAGACACAGCAGCCTGGGGGACCACAAGTCCCTTGAGGCTGAGGCCCTGGCAGAAGTAAGGGCCCGGGGAAGGCAGCTAGGCCAACAGAGACCTCCAGAGAGGGGGCGGGGTAGGAACCTGCCTTGTGGAAGTGCCCCCTAGCCTTTGCCAGACTTAAGGTTAAGCCAGAGAATAAGAGACTGAGCTGGCTTTCCTTCCCTTGCTGGGCCTTCCCTTGGGGACACAAGTTGGTTGGATACAGCTGCTGGCTGGGGCTTCTGTAAAGGCTGAAAACTCCCCAGTGTCCAAAGATAGAGATGGGATTGGCTGGATTATGGGTATGGGGCAATGGCAGGTCTCTCTGCAAGATGATATGGTTGAGTTCATCCATCCATCCCTTCATCCTTCCATCCATCCATCCGTCATTCATTCCTCTATTCATTTATTGACAAATATCAATTGAGCATCTATTATGCTATGCTAGGCATTGAAAGTACAGTGAAGAGCTGAAATAGACTTTGGCCCTGCTCTCATGGAGATTGTGGTTTAGAGAGGGGGAAGAGAGAGCTTTCAACCAGGAGATGCACACAGCCTTGAAATGTCAGTGAGCTTGTTGACCTGTACCCTGAGTGGAGTTCAGGGAAGATTCCAAGGTAATACCCAACACAAACAAGACACCCAGCCACTGGAACTCCTGTCCACAGCCCCAGGGTCTGGTTTGGGCCATGCCCAAATGCCCACTCCCATGGCATCCCTGGGACTGATGCCTTGGCATGAGTCAAGCAGAAGAGCCAAGAAATTTGTTGCTTCTCCATTCTCCAAGGCTGGCCATCCTCTTGGGAAACATCCCCTAGCCCCCACCATCATCTGGACACTATACAGGTTGGAAGCTCTCTCAGTCACAGTAGGGGTGGATAACTACCTGGCCCAGAGCCCTTTACATAAAGAGTCCAAGTGCAGTCTAGGGCCCAGTTTCTAAAAGTGGRTCCCACCACAGACAGGTTCCATGGGATGTCAGTGGGATGGGGCAGTACTCTGTGGTGCAGTTGGAGGATGTGGGTCTGATAAAGTCAGAAGGCTTAGAGAAGCCAAGATTTCTCAGCACCATAAAATAATGTGCAGGTGATGTGAATATCCCACAAAGGGAACAGGGCACACCCCACCTCCCAGACTTCTTTTACCTTCATTTATTTTTTTGTTCATTTATTTTCAGTACTGGGGATAGAAGCCAGGGATGCTCTGATACTAAGCTACATCTTCAAGTCCTTTTTTATTTTGAGGCAGGGTGTTGCTAAGTTGCCCAGGATGGCCTTGAGCTTGTGATCTCCTGCCTCAGCCTCCCAGTGGTCAGCCCTTGATTCACATAGCATTATGCAAGCCCAACCCAAGGAGTGCACTTGGGGAAATGCGGCCCATGTTCTCTGTGGGCAGTGATATCTACACACTCTAATAGCTGAATTCAAGAGCTCTTTTCACTGACTGAAGTAAAATAGGAGCTCACAATAAACAATTTGTAAACAGCTAAGATGACACAGGATAGGCACCAGCCTGTTCAGCATCAGCTCTGATGAGTCCTTGACTTTGCAGCCTATGAAGGGGAGGGATGGCATGCAAAACCCTGAGTATTAGATGGGGTTACCCCAAATTTTCTGGTCTCAAAATGTTCTTTAGGATTTAGATTTGAAACCCAATTAGGAACTGTGTGACATTGTCATCAAAAGCGAGACGGTCTCACTTGGGAGGAGGTGAAAAGCCGCTGCCTTCCCTGCTCTGCCCATCCCAGGTTCCTCTCTGCAGCTCCTCTCTGGAGACTCGCTCATCACCTCTCGGACTAATGCAAGGCTCCAGCCTAAACCGCTTGGCTCATCTTTCTCTGAGCTTTCTGTCTTTCTGGCTCACTGTGCCAGGGTACAGTGGTGGTGGCAGCAGGAGGGATGGAGGTGGAGGGATGAGAATTACATTTGTTGAAGTTTTGCCTTTTAGAGCCACCAGAGGGAGCAGTGAGGGCAACTGAGAACTTAATTCCAGCAGAGCTGGGGACACTGGAGCAATTCTTGAAAGTGTCCCTGAAGGGTAGGGAGGTAGCAAACAGGGAGAGAATAGCCATCTCTCCCTTCCAACAGAGAATCTCCTGCAACTGATTATATATATAATGTATTTAGGATTTAGATTTGTATGATCATATATATATATATGTATGTGTGTGTGCGCGCGCGTGCGCGCGTGTGTGTGTGTGTGTGTGTGTGTGTGTATTTAATTGTAGATGGACACAATACCTTTATTTTATTTATTTATTTTTATGTGGTGCTAGGGATCGAACTCAGTGCCTCACATATGCTATGCAAGTGCTCCACCACTGAGCCCCAGCCCCATCCCTGTAACTATTCCTTTTAAAATTTGCCAGGGTTCTGGGGCAAGGGATAGAATATCGTGGGAAACATAAAAGTTGATGCCTGTTATTTGGCCTGGGCAGGCAGAGGCTGCCTGTAGACCAGGAAGAGGAGAGAATACAGAAGCCTGGGGTCGGCTACATCTCCAGGCTCCAGCCCCAACTGCCTCACCAGACTCCTATGTGTTTTTCAGGATGGGCCTCAGGATTTGCAGAGGAGCAAGCAGGACTTAATAATCATCCCTCCTCACTGAGGTTGTGCACAGCACCTGCCAGCGGTGCTTTTAAGCAGTGTCCCCTCATGCTGTCCTCAATGGCCAAGCCATAATGCTCTGGCCGGGTTCTGGCTCTGCAGCTCCTTTGGCACCTGTGGGCCATGGAGGCATCCCGGCAAATGATCACGTGACCCAGAAACAGTGGGGCCAAAAGGAGTTGGAAAACCATTGTCTGATAGTTTACAGAGCTTCATGACATCCATCATCTCATTTCATCTTCCCAGTGAATGTGTGGGCTTTTAACAAATGAACAAAACCCAGTGCAGGATGACCGAGACTTGCCCAAGGTCACAGAGTCAGCAAGTGGCTGCAGTCTTTTCATTCAAAACTGCAGGGCCTTGTGCCCTGGCCAGAGGCTCCTGGGTTCATGTTGTCCTCCAGCTCCAGCCCTGCCTCTGGCTTGGGGAGGCCAACACCTGGGACGATTGGCGCCAGGCTGGCCTGGGCTGGCGACCAAATCTGTGTCATTCAGAGTGCTCCTATCCTGAAGAGCTCTCAAATATTACAATGTTTCTGAGAATTACATATCAAGTAATTTTTCTATAGGCAAGGATGATCTTTTTTTCCCCCCTTGGTACTGAGGATTGAACTCAGGGGCACTTGACCACTGAGCCACATCCCAAGCCCATTTTTTGTATTTTATTTAGAGACAGGGTCTCACTGAGTTGCTAAGCACCTCACTGTTGCTGAGGCTGATTTTGAATTCGCAATCCTCCTGTCTCAGCCTCCCAGGCTGCTGGGTCAAGGATGATTTTTGAATTAAAAAAAAATAACACATGTGCTCGCTTGGGCAGTACATATACTAAAATTGGAACYATACAGAGAAGATTAGCATGGCTCCTGCGCACGGATGACACGCAAATTCGTGAAGCGTTCCATATTTAAAAAAAAAAAAGTTAAATAATGGTACAAATTTATGGAGTACAAATTTATGAAGTTTTGATACATCCATACCTGGAATAGTGATGAAGGATTTTTTTTTTTTAATGAAAAATGATGATTGGGGCAGGGCCTCTGGAGTCAGACTATCTGGKTTCAGATTTGGGCTTTGCCACTAATAGCTGTGTGATCTTGGGCAAGCTACTTAACCAGTCCGAGCTTCAGTTTCCTCATGTGTGAAACAGTGGTTGCTACCTTGTAAGTATGGGGATTAAATGACTTATGAGTACAAAAGATTTGGGTTGGTGCTTACTGTCAAGTGTTAATGCTATTGTGGTTGCACTACTACTTTTGAGTGTTTATGTGTGTTAGGTGTTATGTCATGCTCTTTGCAGAGATCATATCACTTAATACACTCATCAACTCTGAGTTTAGTATTAATTATAATTATCTCTAAATTGCAGAAGAGGATTCTGAGGCTCAGAGAGGTAAGGTCACTTGCCCAGGGTCATACAGCAAAGAAGTGTCAGAGGCAGAATTCGAGCATCTGGCTGACTCTGGTAGTCTGACCTGCCTTTACTAATATACTTCCCATACATGGGACACCCACATTGATCCTCCCATTTGATTTTAAGATACCCTGGGGACTTATTCTCCACCCAGGCCATGAGGCTCCTGTGGGAACCTCAAGAAGGACCACGAGCTGGTTAGCAGCCCAGGACCCGACGCCTGCAGTCTCTGTGCTGACTGGAGCTCTCTCTGTCCCCAGGACATCGAGAAGACCATGAGCACGGCTCTGCACGAGTTGCGGGAACTCGAGAGGCAGAACACKGTCAAGCAAGCGCCAGATGTGGTGCTGGACACGTTGGAGCCCATGAAGAACCCTCCAGGCCCCATCAGCTCAGAGCCCGCCAGCCCCCTGCACACCATCGTCATCCGAGACCCGGATGCCGCCATGCGCCGGAGCAGCAGTTCCTCCACCGAGATGATGACCACCTTCAAGCCAGCTCTGTCCGCCCGCCTGGCTGGCGCCCAGCTGCGTCCGCCCCCGATGCGGCCTGTGCGGCCCGTGGTCCAGCATCGGTCCAGCAGCAGCAGCAGTTCCGGGGTGGGCAGCCCTGCGGTGACACCCACGGAGAAGATGTTCCCCAACAGCTCCACAGACAAGTCGGGCACCATGTGACCTGCTGGGTGGGTGGCACCAGCGTGGCCCACTGTGGCCCGCCATGGCCTAGCCTGGCCTCGGTGGCTTCTACTTGCTTCCCAGTGATGCTGGCCTTGTGAGGCAGAGCTTGGAAGGTCAGCTGGGAGAGAGTGCGTGTCTGTGGAGCGCAGAGGCCCAGGCGCTAGTGCGCTCAGCTTGGCCATGCCAATCCCACAGACCTGTGTGCAGASAGACACCCCGGGGAGTGCTGCAGCAAAAGCCTGAGTTCAGTGTCTCCCCAAAGTGAGGCAAGATGCCAAGTGGCTTCTCCCGCATATCGTCACTGGAAAATGATTCTCGACATCCTCTCTACATACGTATATATGTGTGTGTATATATATGTGTATATATATACGCATAGACATGTATGTATGTGTAGGTGTCTGTGTATATATAAATATTTATGCATCTATATACATACTAGATCTGGACTTACATGTTAAATGTATATAGGATCTCCTTTTTCTTTTTATGAAACTTAGATTTACCTCAGACCCATGCCACCTGACATCTCCCGCTGAGTTATTTGGTGGGATTTGCAGGGACTTCTCTGGGAGAACTTAAGAGGCCCCACAGTAACTGCAAATGAAGCAATATACCACTCACCTGCAGAAAAACAGTCTCCCACTGTCTCCAGAAGTCGTGGCCTTCCAGAACAGTCTGCCCCTAAAGGCAGGGTGGGGCAGGCAGTACCCCAAGCAGGCGGGGAACCCTTCAGAGAAAACCCTCCGTCCACCCCAGAGACCCTGCCCTTCCATCCGGGAGGCCCAAGGCCAACTGTACCCCCCAAAGGCACGGGAGGAAGTTGGCAAGAAGATCCCTGACCACAGCATCCTTGTGTTTGTATTGTAGAAAGAGGGGACAGCAAAACCCTAAACCCTATCGTAGCACAGTATTACATGTGGTTGGGAAAAAGGAAAAAAAAATAATACAGTGGTGTGAAATACTTCAAATCCTAGAAATGCTGTAGGAATAAATCTGTGGTAACTATAGAGGTTTAACTTATATCTTCAAAATATTTAATTTTTTCTTTTCCTGGTTCTACTAATTATACTGTGTCAGATTTGGAACTCAACAGGCAAGGAGGCTTTCTGAGTCACATCATTTTCATATAATATTGGGCTTGACACACTTCGGGTCTTGCCCTCTTGCATGAAGCACGTGAGCTATAGGTGCCCCAGTCAGAGGGAGGCCCAGGAGGGGCCAGGGAACACCATAGGTTGGTTGAGTTTATGCAAGTGAGATCACTTCCTGCCCTCCCCTCCCCTGCTCCCTCCAGAGCATTTAATGTAGGTGAAAATGTGTTTTTCAAATATAAGGGGGAAGGCTTTTGCCTCTTGGCTGAAAAAAAGCTTTCCAAGTTGTTCTTCTCTGCTTCCATTTGACATCCTCTTCTGATSGCTCTGTTTTCTAGAGATGGCTGTTTCTGGGTAATGGAGCACAGGCAAATCTGATCCTAATGGGATAGACCACTTTGACTTGCTCCCCCCTCATGCCAAACCAATGGTCTTTTCCTTATTGTTCTCAGGCTTTCTCTCTCCTCTCTCAGCCTCTAGGGTTGGAGTCAGAAGTCCAAAATTTCAGTCCCAGTCCCCAGCACTCAGGAGCTGTGAGACTTTGGGCACTCCACTTCATCAAACCTCGCTTTCCTGTCCCATAAAATGAGGCTGATAAAGATAAGCGAGCAAGCTAAATCAACTGGAAAGCTCTGTACTGATGCTATTGCTATTATTATCATTCGGAAGGTGAGTCTTTCAGACCCTAAAAACCATCCAGACCTTCTGGAAAGCTCCTAATGGCATTTGAGAAGTGGGTCCTGGAATTTCCCTGCCAGCTTGCTGAGAGACAGCAGTATCATCATTAGCATCTCCCCCCATTGGATGAAGTTTGCCCTCTCCTGTGGTCCTACAATAAAAGGTAAACACACCGGGAGAGACCTTGTGAGTCTCTGATACCTGGATGTGTGGGGACAGGAAGCCATTCTGCCTTGTCTCTGGACTGGCCTTGAAACCACATGGTGGAAGGAGGAATCGAGAAAGGCTGTACCAGGGAGAGGCCAGTGATGAATTTGACCTCCCTTGTTTTGCCGAGAGCTCCCAACCCTTCTCCTTTAGCTCCTGATATGAAAGGTTCTCTGCCTTTGTGCACATAGACAACCCCTTTTACAGTGTAGGAGAGTTAGGCCTGGGGGTGTGCTGGGACCTGCCCAAGAGGTGACAGATGTCTGAGAGTAGGGCTCTGTCAGGCACTGGATGTTGTTCATTTGCAAGGATTCTGTACCGTCCAGCCAAGTTGTAGGAATTCTCATCTCCAGCCCAGAGATACTCCCAGACCTTAAATCTCTGCCACAAATACCAGATGAGAAGCAAAGATTTAAGCAGACAGATCTATTCCCTGATATACGTAGCACCAGTCAAGCTTTGTAGATCGTTCTCTGGAATTGACAGCTTCCATTTTCCTTACCAAAAAGGGACCTGCCTTTCCCAGACTTAACTTGAAGGTTTTTGTTAAGCACCTATTTTTCCCCCCAGTGGAAAAATGACAAGATCACATATGGGGAAGTAGGCACCCAGATGGCAGATGATGCCCCTCTCACCTGGCCCCTTGATCAGAGCCCCATTGCAGGACACAAGGGAACACACTGTCCTTGCCACCCCTTTCCTCATCTGGCACTGCGCATGCCTCAGCCTCCCTTCACATCACTCAGCCCAGCAACGTCCACTGGGCATCTCGTCTCAGCTCCTGCCTGTTGGAGTCCACTATATATTGCTGTATTTGCTTAAATGCTGGAAAGTAACTGTTAAAAATGTGAAACTGTACTTTTTTAAAAAGGCTACAATTAAATTCTAGCCAATGCCACTCACCAAATCTTCGCACCTAGTCGTAGATAGATCAATGTAAAAACCAATACCAGAAACCTAACTGTACAGTGGGTGTGGGGGTAATGTAGTAACCTAGTTAGTAGTCCTCAATATAACCAATTGTACAAGGGGAAGTGGTRTTTACCTACCTGTTCATCACCATTATTGAAAGCTGTACTGATCAGCTAGTTGATAACGGGCATTTYTTTGTTGTTTTGTTTTGTTTCGTTTTGTTTTTGGCTTCACGGAATGGCTTACCCTGAGGTCAAGCCTTTTGTCTTTATGTAGAACTGATGTTCAGGAATGAACCAGCAAGATGTTCATTTAAAACTGACCAAAGACGATTAATTCCTGGTCTAGTTTCTTGGGCCTCATGGCCCAGCAGCCGCTCGAGACCTTTCGTGGACAAAATTGAGAACAAGCCGTGCTTCCGACCCCATGCCCCCTCCCTATACCCTCTTCTGCCCCTTTCCTCTTAAAAGAGCTGCTCTGAGCTGTGGGATTCTACGAAAAATTCTTGCCTTTCCTTGTTTTCAGTGCTAACGATTTCTCACCTCGAAGCGCCTTTTGAACCCCGGACAGAGCGCACAGCTGGAGGGAGTTGTGGGTTTGGGAATGAGACTYGGGAGTCTTTTCTCTGAAGTCACCAGGCCAGGGGTCAGGAGAGAAATGGATTCCCAAGGGACAAAAGGTTTCTATTCAATGAAGAAATCAGAGTGGGAAGAGACACAGGGAAATTGAGCCATTCTTTGGCCACTGGCTGGAACCAGCAGTTCAGAGATCTGCCTTATAAACAGACACTTCAAACTGGCTTGTGGTGCACAACCGGGAGCCAGTGTGGGAAAGGGCCTCTTTGCGGGGCCTCCGTCTCTGCTGGCATCTCCTGGAGTGCCTTGGTGGGTATTTCTTTCTCATTCAGGAGGCATGGATGTGGGGACTTCTTGTGACCTGGTCATCACCTGTCTCACCGCGCGTGCACAGCTGATAGGCAACCACAAGGACTAGCATGCACAGGTTCTTCCTCTCAGTCCTTCTACTCCTAACTTTTCACACATCCAGATGGGTCCACACTAGAACAAATGCCTCATTCTCCTGAGAAACCCAGAAAGAAGACAGGCTGGCTCACAGCCACAGTGGTGGCCCCGTTGGGCTGGGAGGGAGTTGGGTGGTGGGGGAGAAGTCAGAAAGGGGTGAGCCGAGGTGTTGCTTAGCTGATTTTCTGCTGTGCAGAGCTAATGCTGACGTTTCATGTCAATTTCCCCGGTTCTCTGGGGTCTCCTCTCTTCTGAGCAGCCTTGTAGAGAATTCCCCACATACCCAAAGCTGCCCAGGGGAGCTGAGAGAAGGGACTTTGCTGTCAGGTCTGAGTCCTCCTGGCCTCTCTGAGGTTGATCTGYCAGTGTCCCGCTGTCCCATCCTCTGGGACTGGCCAAATGGCCACCGCTGCCCCTTGCTGACACCTCCTTTTTGTGTGAACTGTCCCAGACAAATAACAAAGCTATTCTTGAACCAGCGTGCACTTTGCCTTCCTTCAATGGAAGTYGATCCTGGCTAGAGTTTCTGCTCAGGCCCTTGTCCCGGCAGTGTGACTGTTTACATGGTTTGGCAATAGGTTTGGTTTTGATTGCTTCAGAGTGGCTGGTCTATTTTGTTTCCTTTGGTTTTTCTTCCTCCCCCAAATTGTGACAGGAAAAACAAACAAATTGAAACCACCCTAGGAAATTGCTGGTTGCCTGTCCCCACGTGATGAAAAGTGTCGCCCTTTTCCGGGTGTCGTTTCTCTACCTTGTGACCAAACGCCCGTCCTCTAGGAGTGTCTGATATGGATCCTCTGTTGCGTATTCTGATGGTGCCTGCTGGTTTGACGTGGAGCTAGCCTGTGAAATAAAACAGCTTAACTTTTCTCAAACCTGCTCTGGTGGTTATTGAAAGGCACATCCGATGGGGTGGAGAGGTCCTGGTGGTGGTGGTGGGGGGGGTGGCCCTTCCTACTCTCCAGCCTGCTCTGTCTGCATGTTTCCCCAGGTAACCATCTCTGAAGTGTCCTTTAGTTCAGATCCAACAAGGTGAAGGTCAAAGACCACTTGGATGGAGAGCTAGTTGAAGAAGGTAACTACTGAAGGTCTGCTGGGAAAACAACTGGAAATGTCAAAGCAAAGGCCAACTGGGAGTGGGAGCTGTCATCAGCAGAAAGTGTTTTTAAAAGTATATGACAAATTGCCAGAGACCACAGGGTACTGATTTCTAATGTCACGCCACATACAACATTTTAGTGTTTATTTTCCAAACGTAAGTGCTATGGCCTCTGGGACCTTTTTGTCCGCCCCCCCCCCCCAATCTGTGTATGTTCTGTTTGTAGACCATTTATTTCTGTCCCAGGCACTGGTTTACAACTTTACATGCATTTTCTGGTTTAACTCTCAAAATAGCCATTGAGGGTTAAGTACCATGATCATACTCCATTCTGCTGAAGAAGAAACAGGTTCTGAGAGGTTAAGCAGCCTGCCCAAAGTTAGTTTGATTTGAACCCCATCTGTCCAACTCTGAAGTCCTGTCGGACTCCATATTCTTTACAAATGCATCCTTTTGTTCCTCGTTGTGTTGTCTGTGATGGATCTCACAGTTAAGGTAAAGTCAGGGCAGACTCCTGACCTGTCCTTTCTGGGCAGATGGATCTTCAAATGAAGGCCTCTTTGCAGGAGAGAATGAATGGGGCCTTTTTCTTGAAGCAGCTCTGTCGTCATTTCTACCCAAACCTCTCACTTGCTCAGTGGTGGCCTCTTGCTGATTCTACTCCTCTGCTCCTGAAAGCACACATTTGCTATGCATTCCACAGTCTGTTTACTTCCTCCCAGCAATAGCACTCATTTGAGAATCCCAAATCAGAAGGCTTTCATTCATTCATCAAGAAAGGATGGAGCATTTTTGTGTTTTGCCCCAAGTGAACCGATGGGGACACAGATGGATGAGACCCAGCTTCTACCCTCAAGCTCCCAAGCTGCATACAGTCTAACTGCACAAAATCATAATTTCAGAAGTCTGAAATTGATTTTGACTCAATAATTTATAGAGTAGTATTTCTAATCCACAGACGCACAAAGAGCAAATTTGAGCTGTCCAACAGCTTTGACAGGAACGAGGCATTGCTGGATCATTCACTTCCTGGGCACATCTGTTTAGGACTTTTTTGTTTACAAATGACACATAAGCAAAAGCCACGGTGAAGTACACCTGTAGTCCCAGCAGCTTGGGAGGCTGAGGCAGGAGGATGACAAGTTGGAGGCCAACCTCAGCAATTCAGCAAGACCCTGCCTCAAAATAAAAAAAGGGTTGGAGATTTGGCTCAGTGGTAAAGTGCCCCTGGGTTCAATCCCCAGTACCAAAAATCAAATGAAACAAAAGAAAAGGTGCAGGGGTTGGGTGGTTTTCACRTAACTGGAAAACCCAGGTGGGACCTGGCTTCAAAATCTGCATGAATTGAGGACTCAAGGGGGCAGTATCTTCCCTCAGGTCAGCTCACAATGGCCGGAGAAGCTTCCACTACCTCCATCTCCTCAGTCTCAGTAGGATAAAAATCTTGGATCTGATTTTCCTTGAATGAACCACAGATGCCCAGCTAACATAGCCCCAGGGAATGGAATAGATAAATGTGCCTAAGCACATTTAATGGAATAGATAAATGTGCCTTGTTTCAAGGGTGATGCCAACCCCAGCCAGACTTTGTATTAGCAAACAACAGTTGCCCAAAGGAGATTGCAAGAGCTGTCTTCATCCTGTAGATTCATGAGAAATAAAATATGGTTTTTAATCACTCCATTTTAGGGTGGTTAGTTACATATAAAGGGCTAACACATATGTTAGAAAAATGCCTATGCAAATACACTAAAAATATGTACTTGTCCATGGACTGAGGTTAGCTTAACAATGAAGTTAATATTCATCAAGTGCATTCTATAAGTGAGAACAGTTCAATGCCCTTCACATGTCTTACCTCCTCCAATCCTTCCAGGCACCTGTGGAGGTAGATGCTGTTCGTATCTCTCTTTTTCCAGGGAGGAAACTGCTGATGCTTAGGGAGATTAAGTCCAGGATTCCCTAACTGATGATTCCAGAGCCCAGACCTGTCCTTTCTACTGCCCTGCTTACAAGATCAAGTTTAGGAACCACCTTCTGGGTTGGTCCTTCATGCCAGCCAGACTTCTGTGGTTCCCCAAAGCCTGGTTTTTGGGAAGTCTGGTTGTCATGACAACCACCTTAGATGAAGGTAAATGGGATGTTCATCTAATAGGGAGGCTGAGGACCAGAGAAGATGTAGGATCTGCCCCAAATTCAGAAACAGATGGAGGGAGAAAAAAAGGCCTCTGGATTTCCTGATCCTTAGCCCATGTTCCCTGGGCCCTTACTAGTCCCTCCACAGCAGCCCTTGGGGTTGGGGGTTGGTGAACTTCAGTCTTGGGTGGATGTGCAAAGGCTCTGAGTTCAGAGGGAACCCCATGTGGATCCAAACCCTGACTTGTACCAGCTCATTGGCTTCGCCAAGAAACAAAACATCCTGGAACCTCCATTTCCTTAGGAACATGGGCTGATAAGAGGC